TTGTGTTCGTCCTAACTGGCCGTTTCTGCTGCATTGTCCGCTCTTCCTGTCTGTCCGTCTGTCCCGTCTCGCGCGGGCGATTGGTTCGTGGAAGTCTACGTCACGTGGGTAGTTTTCCGCGGCTTCACGCTATCTTCATCGCACCATTTGGGATTAAAAATGGCGGAAGAAATCGGAAACCTCGCGTAGTTTGGGGAAAAAAGAATCTTATCGCGTGATCGCAATTCATATAAGCAAACTGGTAAACAGAGAAAACCGGAAAGCTGTCCTTCGATTCCAAGCTTTTGCCGAAAGTTTGATACTCATACACCCGAATTTAACTCTTAAGAGTAGCCCCCATCTGGAAATGTTATTTTGGCAAGAAGATTAAGGGAGGAAGATTAGAACTCATATTATGACGTGTGTCGACAGTTATAGTCTGTTCATTGGCAGTAGAGAGTAACGAAACGGTTCTGGTTGAAGCCTATAGTAGCAACGATGTCGAGCGACCAGAGGTCGTTCGTTTTAAAATATTGTCCTTTTGAGAAAATATGCGTTTTAGTTAGCTCGTTCCTGTAAGAAGGGTTTGAGGTATTTGGCCGCCGTATCGCTCGCATAACGCCGTTTTCCGTGTGCTCTCTCGCGTTCCGCGTCGAGCATGGAAGAGAGAACCAATTTAATCGCTATTTGCGTTCTAACTGTAATTTTATACAACCAGTTTTCGCTGAACGGACGGACCGAGGACGACGGTCTTGTCCCATTCGTACCGTACGATTATCTTCGATAATACCAGGATGCCGTTTCCACCATAATCTCTTCTTTTTTTTTTTTAATCTTATTTCGCCGCAGATGTTCCGGAAATAAGAACGGAGATGACCGGCTCATTTACCCGATCTGTGCTTAGAAATATGAGTTCTTACATATCTGGCTGTCGCTGGGCACGTGGTGGAACCTTACTTATCTTACCATTTCGTTAGTTTCCGACGATGATCCACAAAAGGACATGGTTTAAAGGTGCAGTCAAAAGACCACCTATCAATTGAAGGGATCGAACCTATGGAGAGAATTTGTTATCTCACTTCGTCAGCAGTTGCATAGTCTACAGAAAAATAAAAAAAATGCCTCTTCTGCAAGTTGTTGGCGGCAGATTCTTTAAAGTAATCCACACCTACCAGGACCATTTGATACTCAAGGGGACATTAATGGTGTAAATTATGCCATAAATGGCATCATTATACTGTCAGTATTCTGTAAACAACATAGCAATTGAGGACTGGCGAGTGCTCCTAACTCGGTACTTTTTATGTATGTATATGCAGCGAATATTGTTTTTACATTCTTCATTTTTGGTTTATGTTTCTTATTTGGTTTGTAGTTGTAGTTCATATCACAATTAGATTGTTCGGTAATCTATCGGGAGAATTTGTTATTGTTAATAAAACTTCAGAGCTGCTCGTGAAAATTTCTTTCCGACACTTTTAACATGATGGGTGATGGGGTGGTTTGAAGTTTTGGTACTTCCAAAACTCAGGAACCTTATGTCGGATTAAATAAAGATTAATACGCGTTACGCTTGATGAGTTTAATACGGTTTATTTTTATATTAGGTATTAAGAAAAATCTGTTTTATTCAGTGAGTATCTTTTGCAGTCTCGAAATTTTGTTAGGAATGATTTCCATAGCCTTTGTCAACTTCCCGAATAAAAAATGCAAACTTTTTTTATGTAAATTAATACAAATTGATACGAAGACTGAGCAAACCGCCGGGTTCGCAACCACTTCCGCGACATCGCACCGACAACCGAATCAACAACGGCGATAGGCGTCGCCGCCATTTTGACGCGGATCGATGGTCATCTTATCGCGGGAAATTCTTCGAACATTAATTCGCACATAAACGCGCATAAATACGTGCATATCTCGTATATAAAATTAACTCTCTCGTTATTTGCTTTAACTTTATTGCCATTACAGCGTATTATGATTCGGTATTATTATACGCTTTTGACGTATTTAGCCCTACGTTGCCAATTTATTTATTGGGTTTTCGTTTGTTAGTAATATAGTATCCGGTTACCAACGCGATCGCGAATCGCACAGGACCGTGATTAATGCAGGGCCGTAATGGATTTGTTATCGTTGTTTACACGTGCTGTCTGATATCGAGTTAATTAAATGTTTGTTTTGAATTTAGATACTTAGATTATTACATCTTTCGTCGATTACTCTTTTAATAAAAAAAAAACTAAGAATTGAGCATGTCCAAAAGAATTGATCTAAATTTTCATTACAACAAAAATGTCTGCAAAAAGAGTATCCTATATAATTCGTGGACAAATTATGACATTTTATTGTAGTACAGTAAATAAGTTTATAAGTAAACGAAATTCTGAAATCATGATTTATATCCTATATCGATTGTGTCGATAAAATATCTGACAAATTGGAAAGATATCTTTTGTATTGCGCAAAGGAAATCGTTTTAGATTGAGTCGCTATCGAAGTTGCTATTGACGTATTTGTTGTTGATAACAATGTTATTATTAAGATAAACAACAAAATCTGCATAACCTTTAGAAAGAGAAAAGTATACAAAATCCATTTGATTACATTATATCAAGAAGAAATCGAGAAACTATTATTTCCAGCTAAATTAAAAAACATGTTTATAAAGAGCTCTCACAAATGGACTACAGTGCTCAAAGTCCATCCGACTCGGCTCATTACATAGTCGGAGGGTGCGTGCCTTCGCCGGATAATCGAAAACACGTATAATCCAAATACCTTTTTTTTATTATGTATTTTTTTAAAATTTGTTTAGATAAATACATCTGTCAAACAAAGAGAACAAACGTAATACAAGATACAACATACATGTTACAAAAAATAAAATATAGTATATACAAAATGTATACAATAAATTATGTTTGCAAAAATCACTTAAAAATATCACTGATTTTTGTTTTTGGGCTTCGTAACTTCTACACTGTATAATTTCTTTCATTTCCCATCAATTGCAAGATGTTCTTCAAAATATTGAATAAGTACGTTTACGTTACCCTGCTTCCTTGTGATCACATTCTATCCAGTCCTGTATTTCTTTATTTTCTATATCTTCCAAACCAATTATTTGCAAGGCTATAGATGCTGTGTTTTCGATCGATAGCCCACCTTCATTTAACTGATTATTTTCTCCAATAACATCTTCTTCCTCTGTATCTTCTATTAAAATCCCAGCATATATTGCTTCTTTCAAATTTAGACGTTTCCAAAATTCCACAATGTCACGTTCTTCTTGAAGCATAAGATCTTTTCTATAAAGCCTCTATAACCCCTTGGTCCATTGGCTGGGCAATAGATGTTATATTCGGCGGAAAATATGCTACGAATATGTTTCCATCTTCGGACTTAAGTTGCACAACATTAGGATGCGATTTCGCATTGTCCAGTAACAGTACAGCCTTTGGTGGAACATTATTTTCTTTTTGATAAGCTCGAACTTCGGGTATACATTTTTTAAAATCAACGGGCAGTGTTTTTATATTTTTAAAAGTCCTCGGATTTTTGGATTTTCCAATAACAGCTAACCCAAGCTTATGCGTTCCTGAGGCATTGGTACAGCACAAAACTGTTAAACGGTCTTTGCTTCCTTTGAAACCTAAAAAAATTGCACACATAGGTCCTGATATCGGGACCTCTTCCGATCTCTTCTGCAAGAACCACCTGCTCATAGCATCATCAAGTTGTCGAAAAGTAGACCCTTTTAGTGATTTTCGATCAGAAATAGCTTTAGCACCATGTGCTTTAGCTACAAAGCTCTGTAATTTGATTTTTCTCTTTACAATGTCACGAACTGTGTGTTTTACAATGTTATACTTTTTAGCCAACACAAAAACACTTATGTTATTTTCACATTTCCATTTTTTGCTCAATATTTGAAACATTGCGTTGACGCATAACACCGGTACGCTCCATTTTGTGCCTCTGTTTACGTTTAACTAACTAACCCAAACTAACGAGCCGGTCGATCAGCACTCGGCAAATGTAATAGGTTAAAACCCGACACAAATTTAGGGATTCGCTGAAAAGAACGACACAGTGCATGCAGCGTCCATGCGCTGCCAACTTCTGCCCGTTAGCCACGGATAATCCGCGCGTGGTTGATCAATTTAAAATGCCGCCCGAAAAAGCCGCCTCCCGGATAAAGGGCGCACGGATAATCGGGGTTCTACTGTACGACGAAAAGTCCAGTCAGGAGTGACAGTTTTCATAAATAGCCTTATGTTGTCAACGAATTCAAGTGATAAAGAATGATAGAGTGGGTTGAAAAGTAGAGGGCGCAAATGGCAACATTTTTGAGAAAAAGTAGATTTATTAATGCTATACCTTGTAACTTCCAAATTGACACTTAATAGACCAGAAGTGCTTCAAACGAAGGAAGATTCAACTGATCGATACGCATCGATTTCGTACAGTAAATTTGTTTTTGCCGAAAAATCGTTCGTGTTTTAACGAATTCGTATTTTTTATCTCGAATTGGATTCGGACGGTGAATTTATCGATAAAAACGCGTGGTTTCGTCTGTCGTTGATAAAACATTTCGCGAGTATACGATTGATAAAAATTTCCGATATGGAATAATCTCTGATCCGGCGGCTAATATTTAGTCGCTATATTTAATTAATCATATTTATTTTACGCCGGTTTAATTTCGATTGCGAGATATTGCTTTGTTTGGGGTCAAAAGTTTACATCGTCACCTGGCGGTACGCGGGGGCGTACTCGAACATCGCTGTTCGTGCAAATATTATTTTTTCGATGTTCGATGAAAAATTAAATTATCTACTTTTTTGTTTGTTCTCGTTTGCTGCGCAAAATGGTGGACGTCGCCGCACGAATCGATACTACCCGGTCCGGGAACGAGTTCATCTCGCACGGGCGGACTTTTAAAAATAACCGGTCTCCTTTATTTTTAATTATAATATGTGTTTAAAAAAATTCGAAATCGATCTATGTTGCAGATGATGACACCGGGGACACGGTGGTGATCGCCTAGCGTCGTAGCCTCCCCCTGCCCCCACCTTTCACCGATCGTTCCCGGTCCCCGCCGGCCGGTTTCTTCTATCGTCCGTCCGCCGGTGGTGACGTTGGTGCCGCCATGGGCAACAGTTGCTGTTGCTGCGGCAGCGGCCATCCGGCACCGGAACGGTTGCCAAGCATTAAGACTGACAGTAAAATAGGTAAGTCGATATGGTATCTATTTAGTACGTTGATAGGGTATCGATTTAGTAAGTCGATAGTATATCGAGTTAGTAAGTCGATAGTGTATCGAGTTAGTAAGTCGATAGCGTATCGATAATTTGGTATCAATTTAGTAAGTCGACAATTTTTGTATATAATAAGTCTCTAATTTTTCCATATGTAACAGATTTGTTATCGATAGGGTATCGATTTTTTGCGGATGGAAATTTCATCCATTTAATGGAAACGCACATAGTTTTTATTTTGGAAAAAATGTGAGTAGTGATATTGAAATATCGATTATCTCGATTCGTTCGATGAAATACGAAAAATTCTGCTAGCGAGACAATATTGCCGAAAGTACCGATTTGTTTGCCTTGGGACGATGAGCGCGACTGCACTTCAGCGGAGTCCCGTTCCCGGTTCCGGCGCGTTCCTAAAAAATACTCCGCCACAACTTTCACTCGAACAGAACTTCGCACACATGGCGTTCGTCCGTATATTTATTATTATGTAACGGCGTATCCGATATCGCGTCGAGGTCCCATGTGTTCGAGATTTGGGTTTTGCTTGTGAAATTAACCGATTAATTGACCCGACTTTTTATTTCCATTGATTTTTATAGTAAATAAAGCATGTTGCTATTTTTAATACTTCTTTTCTAATTTTCACGTAAAGGTTCCTGTAGATAAACGTGCAGTCCGATTTATTCTTATTTTAATGAAGATTAAGTATCTAGTTTTATTTTTAATACCTATTCGATATATCTATTTTCACCACTAAAGTCCCCTTCGTATGGGAACATTTTTTATGAATCAGTTTCATGAAATTTTGATCCTACGGATAGTTTGTGAATCAAAAATAATAAATTGACATTTTTTATTAAAAAAATGTTAAAAAAATCACTTATTTTGGGAAATTCCGAAAAATTTGGATCAAAATTTGCTATAGACTTTAGTGATGACATTGTGACGCAGAGCCTATGTTTACAACTTTAAAACGCTCTTTATATTTGGACACCCTGTAATTTCTTATTTCGTATTGTCTGCCAAAGAACTTCAATTCTTCACTAAATCGCTTAATGGATATAAAAATCCACAAATGCATAGGTTATTTCTATGTTTCTTTTTTAATTTTCACCAAATGTGCCATCTTTTAATACCTTTGTTAAGTTTTACGTTGTATCTTTTTAATTACTAACATTTACTACCACATTTATCGAACAAATCTTCTTATATTGGAGTAGTCTCAAGCATTGCTTTATTTCTGGTAAATTACCCCGCGTCTCGTATATACCGGGTATGCCAGTAGTTGCAACGAGGGTATGGTATTAGGGAATGGTACTAGAAGTTAAAAAAAAACCAGAGGGAGTAATTGTTATCTGTAATGTTAAAACTAAGTTTCTACAAAAATTTCTAATATTATCCAGGGTTAAACGAAGTTACTATTTGAACTCTGAGACAAATTCAAATGATTTTTGTTTAATGCTGTTTGTCTGCAAGTGGTGGGAAGGTTCGAACATTTTCTTAAATAAATTTCCATGTCTCCAACAAGACTTAATCCATTTTAATGAATTAGGAGTCCTTCAAAAAGGGCTTATCTTGATCGTGCTACGAGTGGCACGATTAAAATTGCTTACCTGGCTTCCAGGTGGCGTTTTCTGACAATCGCAAAAAAAAAATAATTTTCTTGAGCAAGAGCAAATGCAACGATATGACTTTTTTATGTCATTAGATAGTCAAATTATATCTTTATCCTAACCAAAAATATAATTAAAAGAAATTAACTCTCAAAGAATATATAATTTCTTAATTAGTATGCCAAATAATATTTCTAATTAAAATAAAATTTTGTTTTTATCTTGTACTGTCATGACAGTACCTTTGGTTCGCACAACATTACCCAGAAGCTGTCCCTTCTCGAGTTATTAATTGCTATTACTAATTTTACATTAATTAGGTTTAATCAACTAAGGCTAATCAATTATTTAATTATTTGAGTAGTAAATTGTGTATTGAAATCATGAGTATTATGATGGATTACGGTAAACACTTTTAGTGAAATAAACATTTAGCAAACTTAAAAATAAGAAACGGTAAGCAATCAGAAACTTTGACAAGCATCTAATTTGATGCTTGAGCGTTTGGTCAGATCAAAACAATTTTTTTTTTCGTGACAATTATAAATGAATTTCTGTTAAAAGATATGTTTTACTTTAATTGTTTAATTGTTTTATTTAAATACGTCAATAGTTAATGGAATTAGTTAGTCACCATCAATTGATTAGTGACCAAGTTCTTTTGTGCATATTTTAGGTTAAGATAAAGACATTGGGATATGGTTTTCAGTGAGTTGATGGATCCTCATTTGACTATCTTAATATTTTTTTTGCGATTATATCAGAAAACGCCACCTGGTTGCAAGGTAAGCAATCGTAACTTTAGGGAAAACATAGCAGACGATTCCAAGTTTGTTAGCTTTAAAAAAGTTCTCATTTTAATTATGGTAAACATTAGAAATTTTTTAGAGAGGTAAAAAACAAAAAAAGACTATAAGGTGGGTAATAAAGAAATACAAGTATTTTGTTACGCCGATGGACGATGGTATTGGTATTGATGATTTGCAGAGATTACTACATCCATGTAATATAAATGCATGAAAATATCGGCCAAAAAAACTAATTCGCAAGTAATCTCTAAAGAACCAATTATATATAAGCTGAAACTTGATAACCAAATTATGGAGCAAGTAATGAACATTAAATATTTAGGAATTAGATTATCGTATGATAATAAAATAAAGGATGAAATAAAAGAGCAAACTGTAAAAACAAATGGAATAGCGGGATGCCTAAACGACACGATATGTTGAAAAAATATTCCGGATTATCATCCGTTCGCTTGTTGGACTCCAAATGGAATCCTGCAAACGTTCGCCAAGATTTCATTTGGATTCTTCAATGCTCGCGCTCCGAAAACACTTCGAACACTGGGAAGTTATCGGCGATACGTGCGCTATTTATAACCTGCGCCGAAGGTGGTAACGGTGCTGCTTCTGCGGGAGGGGAGACGGCTCCGCCCCCCGAATTGCCGCGTTGTTTATTTCGGCCGATCGTGGTTGCGATGTCCCCGTTGGCTGCCGTGTATCGTTCTGCCGTTTGATTATCGTTTTACACATATTGTATTTAGGTGTCTGGACTTTTCTATCTCGATTACCTCTCGTATAATCATGGTCCTAAAATCAGAAACATTGCCAATTTGTTTACAAGTGCCGAAATCAATCTTATGGCCTGTCTGGTGTTGGTGCTGGAATAAAGCCGATGTTGTTTGTTTATTTCTTACTGCTAATCGATGTTGGTCTGTTGGTCTATATACTCCTTGGTTCTCTAAAGTATTTTTTTGTTTTGGGTTTCTTAATTTTGCTCCAACAGTATAATCAGGTCTGTTGGCCGTAGACATCTCGTGTTTCCGTAATATCCGGCCGATTCTGTCAGTATCCCCCTTGATGTATGGCAGTATGGCAGAACAGCGATCGATCTCTCTTGGGTTTCGTCCTGCACTCTCTGTTGCGGCTGTTGTTGTTTGCTTATTGCTCTGCTGATGATGCGTCTTTGGAATCCGTTTTGAAGAAGACAGGTACTAATTTTCTTCAGTTCAACTCTGTTCATCATCTCTGTTCTTCTCGTTCGTAAGCCTGTATTGGCCACTGCCTGTATCTGTGATGGGTGGTAGTGAGACTCAGCGTTCGGATATCTATTGGTGTGTGTTGGTTTTCAATAGACAGTGTGTTCCAAGTGTCCATCTTCGGTCCTTGTGATGTGTACATGTGCAATGTAAAAGATTAACACCTAGACAAGCAAAAGAAAGCAAGGATGGAATGAACATATAGATAGAATGTCTGAACAACGGATAGTGATGGAACGACAACCTGTGATAAAAATTACATTGAAGTAAAACAAGCAGAAGTGCCTAATATAGAAGAAGAAGAAGAAGAAGAATTACTTACCGCCCCCTGGTGGTAATTTCAGAAACTCGAAAATTATTTCGCTCACTTTATCTTAACCGATTTACTTTTTTTTTCAAATTTCTAGGACCATCCGTTTCCCTTATACCCTACCTTGTGGGCGTTACTGTGAAAGCCTGTATGATATTAAAGAAAATATGAATTCGTTTTCGCGTCTTGCAAAAATGGCGACTCGCGGACCCTCACTCTATAAAATAAATTTTGTTTATTCTCGATATCGATCCGCGGGGATTCGCAGAAACGCCCTGTATACGAGTCGCCTTGAGCACGCGAAATGGGTTAAACCCATGCGTTCGGTAATAATGATATGCCGGAGTGCATTAGCCTCTATATCGGGCGCCGTTTTGGTTTTGTTTCAATCGTTTAATCATATACAAGGCGTTTAGAAAACGTTTCCTCCACCCGCCCCACGTCGCCCCCCCCCTCCTTCCGTCCGTAATTAATTATTTACGCTGCAACATTGTGTATAATTTTTGAGCGAAGAGGAAACGGCGATCGATTCCGATCGGCGGATCGCTTAATTGGCGTTCGCGTTTCGATCGGACCCGGTTTTTTTTCTGTTTTTACGTCATCAAAAGAGTTATTGTTTGGAAAACGCGAAAATTTCTCTAGTTCGCACGTTTTTGCGCGGGCGATCGATGTCTTAATTGCCGTTGGGTAACTCTCGGTTTTTGTTTTAAATAAAATCACCGCGAGACGAATGACAATTCGGTCGACTAAATTTATAAATAATATTTAATTGGAAAGCAATAATTTAAATATTTGTATTGATCTTTTGTGTTAAAGTAGCGTCTGAAATTGAAATAAGAGAAAATTTGAAAATAAAGCTTAAATGGCAAAAATTTGAAACAATATGTTGTATTTTCAAAATACTCATTTTGCATACTTCGTATTAATAAGAAAATTGAAAAAAAAAACAAAAAATTGTAAAATAAAATACTTTTTAATATTTTTCAAAATGCCTATGAAGTCTATACATTACATTAAAAAAAAAATGGAGAAAATTGAATTGTCGAGTACGACAATTAATTAATTAATTCAATTTTGTCGTTCCAATCCAGTTAAATGTTTAGTTAAACAATAAAAAAAGAGAAACTTGTAAATTTTAACTTGGTCCAGAAATTATTAATATATTTTATTAATTTTACAGTGGAAATTGGAATGTATCTAGGTGAGAGATTTTTTAAAAATTTGAAACTGTTTGAAAATTTTCGAAATATTCACAAATTTAACTAGGTACTACTGTGAATTATTTTTTTTTCTTTGCGATCCCGTTAAATGTTTAGTTAAAAAAAAACTATATTTTACTATATTTTATATTTCCGAAATCCCTGTGAAGTACTTTACATCAACAAATAAATAGAAAAAACAAAGAGAAAATTGAAAATGTAAATTAATTAATTTTGTTTGCATTTAAATGTTTAATTAAAAGAATTTTTAACGATATTTTGTATTTCCGAAATACTTACAAATAAGTGGAAAATATAATTAGATACGCCAATAAAATTAATTTTTTTTTCGAAATATCTATTCATTCATTGACTAAAAAGGAGGAGAAAAATGGAAAATTAAGAAACCTAATTAAAATCATTGAAATTAAAAGCACGACAAAACGTTTAATTAAAAACATTTAGTAAGTAATTAGAAATTAATTAAGACCATTAATATTTTTCTTCACAATCCTATGAAATGTGTTTTTAAAAGAATTGTATGAAGTATAATTATAAAAGTTACTAAAAAACAATTTAAGTTTTCCGATATTTAGACATTGAAAAAAATGATATCCAATTTTCTGTGGATCTCTAAATGGACATTTTATTTCCGAAATACCTATCCTTAAAAGTAACCACGTGGCCGGGGAAGGGGGGAGGGGTAAATAAGCATAAATAATTTGCGTTTATATAAACCTCATTCGACTTAAAAAAAAAATATTGATTTTTTCTATTATGCATGAGGCAGAATTTGGAAAAGTATAGATACACAATAATCTAAAACTCTTTGAACACTTCTTTGACCGCCACGTACGCGCCATTGGTCCGAACTGGTCCCTGTCTTTTCCAAAATTGACTCTTTAGCTTTTGAGAAATGTTTTTTGAAAAAAAAAATTAAATTATAAAACATTTCTAAAAAAATATTTAATAAAATATTTTTCTCTTTAAGCACGATATCCTCCAAATCAACCGTCGGCGGTGAGGTATCCGGAAATCAAGCACGACATCATCAGGAAACCACCGGCGCCTCACGTCGCCCCCGTAGTCGTCAAGCCGTCCGTCAAGCAGACGCCGACCGCCCCCGGGGGCGGCGCCGGCGTCAAGCCGCACCGCGTGGTGGTGGCGGTCTATAGTTACGAGGCGCGAGATTCCCAAGTAAGTGGAGACCCCCGCCGAACCATTAGACCAGTTCCATTTTAGTTTATTCACTTATTGGGCTAGAAAAAATGTAGAAAATATTGAATATATTTGGTTGGTATAGATTTTTGTTATTTCCAGGACGTTTCCTTCAAGAAGGGAGACCGTATGGAAGTCCTGGACGATTCGGACGGTGACTGGCTGATGGTGGTTCACCTGACGACGAAGGAGAGGGGTTACATTCCCGGCAATTTCGTCGCACCCGAGTTGAGCGTTGAAAGTGAAGAGTAAGTTAACGGGGTGTGGGGCAAAAAATCAACCCAGTAAAAAATTTGGAAGTTGGAGTGACTATATTCAAGACCGTTCGAACCAAAATTTTAAAACGGCGGCACCAGAAGCGGGTATTGTTCTGCTATACATTAAGAAAACAGTTTTTAAAAAAATGTGTAATTTGTAAATTGAACACGGCAACTTTTAAAATGTATAGAAATATTTAAGTTGGATTTTTCAATTCCATTCCAAAGAGTAAATTGAAGAAAACTATAAACATAATTGAATAATTGTTTTCAAATAAAAAACGCACAAAAATGCAATTTACGCATTTGCCACTAAAAATGGCCACTTTTGAAAGTTAAAATTGACGAAGTTTCGATATGGTTGTCGAAATTCAAAAAAAATTGGGTTATCTTCAAATGCAAAATTTTCAATTAAAAAAAGAATGAAAATTTTTGTAATGTTTAAGTAAAACAAACCAAAAAAAAAGGTACTTGTCATTGAAATATTTTGCTCTGTAATTTCAATTTAAATTGAAAACTTTCAAAACTAAAATTGATTTTTCAAAGGGACTTCCACACCCTACTGTAATACTTTTCACAAAACTTCTGGATTCATCCTGCGTCGAATGCATATAGTTCTAAAATTTTTTAAAAATGTGTTTTCAATTTAAACAATTACTAAAAAAAAGTAATTTAATAATGATTTGTAAATATAACTAACAAAATCATGTGATTTAAACTTGTTGTCCTGTCATTTAAATTGACATTTAATTGAAAAAATTCAATTCTAAAAAAAAATAATAAAAAAGAGTTGTAATTTTGATGCCTTTTTTTCCAATGAAGAAAAAAATGAAAGAAATAAAAGGAACAAGGATAATTTAATATTAGTTTTCAAATAAGACAAGGCAAAAATAAAACGTACAGACCATTTATTCTCGACGTAATTAAATAGATATCGACGCGGCTCGCAGGAAGTGACATTTGGGCGGCGGAACGCGGAAAAAAGAGGAAAGACGACGCAAAGTTGAACTTAAATTAGTAACAAAAAAAATGCTGCGATTTTTTTTTCTTTTTTGAAGAATTTTGAAAGTGTTTTTAAATTTCGTAAATATAATAAAATAAATAATAAAATGAGTTTTTTAAAGCACGGTACTGTTCAAAACGGGAAAGAGCACTTAAAAAAATTAAATATTAACTTTTATTTTTAATCTTAATTTTTTTAATTAAATTTTACATTTTATTATTTGTTAAGTAAATTGTTATTATATTCCATTTATGTAATGTAATGTAAAGTTTCAGTGACAGGGATCATTGGACAAAGTTAAGATAAAATGTAACAATAGTTAAAAAAAAAGTATTACGGACTTAAATTAGACAGACGATTTTGGTCCCCCGTTCTAAAATTGGTGGTATGCCTTGCTACAATGATTTAGTCGATAACAAGTTTCGTAAAAAGAGGTTTATTGAAACTTACAATCCCCAGTAGGTCCTTTTTCATTACTTTCTGAAAATACTTCTTATTAAGTCAGTGAACGATGTCTTTTTTCCAAGACGTGGTATTCTTTTTCTCAAGTGCCTTTGCCATTGTCAACGAACTTTGGCAACAACTAACGGAAAATAACTGTTACTCTAATTTTAAGCACTAAGGCGCTAATAATTTATAACTCTCTCACATTAAGAAACAGAGTATATCACCCAAAAATGATAAGAAAAGTATTATCGAAAATGATATTTTTATGAGTCAAAATCAAAATAAATTAGTATTAAATATTTAGGGTCCACATCGAAGGTATTTTTTTAGCCATGCCCGCCTGAACTTGAAGCCGGTCAGTTCGAGTTTGCGACGTTACGGGGTCGTCGCCATTTTGTCTGCGACGCAGATCGCTGCCCCCGTACAAAAAAAAAAATAAATTTCTGAGAAACGCGCGCCCGCCTAAAAAAAAAGTTTTTTAATGGCGACGCACGTCTCGCAAAATTATATTGCCCCGTCGCCCGTACACAATGGCTTTTATTGTTTATTTTTATAGCGACAGCGTAATGGTGCCGCTTGTCGATTTGTGTTTTTCGCCAGCGAAAAGCAATAACGATTTATGGTCGGGGCGCGGTGATTTCAACGATTTTTGAAAGGGGATGGGGAGGTATTTTTGGTTGTGATAATAAATTAAAATATTATTTAGGGGGGCATTAAAATTTTTGTGGAATTTATTGAAGCCTTTTCACCACTTGTTTGGTTATTTCCAAGAAGGCATTAAAAATAATATAGTCGTTGATTTGATTTTTTTTCCTACTTAGTACCGTGGTCAGACTTTTCTCTGGAAATTATTAAACCTTTCCGCTTGTTCTCCATTTTTTGGTTAGAAAAAAATAGAAAAAGAAACCGTGGTGGGGTGATAGAGAAAAAGGAATTAAAACAATTTTTAAAAAGGTATTAAAGAAACTATAAAATACAGAGTCAATTCACTTTTCAGTTGCCTGTCTTTTGGACAATTTTTTGGTTAGAGAAGAGTACTAAAACTGGGCGTGCGAATGATGGGAAAAAATAATTAAAGCAATTTTCAGCAATTAATTAAAAATGCCATGGAATGCAGTGCCGTAGTCTAGTTTTTCCATTGAATTTTTTGATGATAAAAAAAAAACTGAGATTTGAGATTGAGATTTCTTTTCGTACTTTTCTGGAAGTGTTCCGTATTTTCACGTTCATTTTTGGTTAGAGGAAAACGGTGAAAGCAGTTGGGGTTATCTATAGAAAAAAAACATTTCTGTTGGAGGAAAACAGGCACAGGAAGGAATTAAAAATACTAGAACTAGTGAGTGTGGAAACGAATTGCTTAGAAAAATTAAAAAATAACTCAAAAGCCTTTAACAACTCTAACTGTCGTTTGTTAAGTTAATAAATACTAGACACTTGTTATTTACCACTTTTGCGCAGGTTTCCTGGCAAATAGCATATAGTCGTATTCTTTTTTCGATTACAGTGCCATCTAGTGAGAATTCATAAGGAAGCTAAGCTCCGAGCAAGACCTTTTTGTGACTAGTGATATTCCCGATATTGGCATCCTGTAACGAACTGAAACGAAACTAACCGATTGTTTTGGCGGGTAGACTTGTTTGTTATATCAAGATTGTTTTGAAGGTTATGGCCGTTGTTATGATTTGATATTTTTTTATTTTATTTCGGCTTTTGACTCCTTTGACTGTAATTCCTTCTATTGTTGTGGTTTCTGGTATTTTTATACCTAACTTAATTAAAGCAGCAGAAAACGAAAATACTTCTATGGAGCAAATAAATGCATTATATACTCCCTATCATCTCAACTGTAAATGCCATTGCAAATAAGGAGAAACCAAGTTTACCAAATTCAAAAAACAGTGTATGCTGAACCAAACAAGAAAAACAACATGGTTTTCGAAAAATCGTCGGTGGGCGGGGCAAATTCGTAGCGCGTAGCGCGAAGCAGCTTCATATTTCAAAAAGAAGTCGCTTCGCGTTTCCTTCTCCTAGAGGGACGCATTGTTTTTTTTTATCGTGCTCCTGCGGACCACTATGGAACTTTCGCAAAATCGATGTAATTTGAATGTGAATACACCCTGTATCGACTAATTTCAAAGTGACGACAAACTTTGAAAAATATAAAAAAAATGTACAAGTAATTATAATAGTCCAAGTATCTCGCGAACCCTGTATGATAGACGAAACCTGAAACTCTCTCTCCCCACAATTTACGAAACTGTTTGGATCAATTTTTTTACGAATTTTATAGTTTTTCATTAACGACTAATAATTTACAAACGAAAACGGCAATTTTCTGGGTCTTTTAGATATTTTTACCCATAATCGACACACCCTGTAAATAATTACAAAAATTCCGGAAATGGAGGTTATAGCCATGGATTTGCCACGTTTCCTGCTCCAAGAATGTTTCTAAGTAAATGGTTTTGAGAAAATAAGCCTTTTCGAAAACCATGCAATGCGCCGTAATAATCAATGACGTCATCGCGTCTTGACGGCTCGCGGAATAGTGATTTTCATATGGATTTTTTCAAATTTCTCGAGCAGCGTAGACGAAAACCGCAAATACAAAAATTGTAGCTCTTGATGCGGCCTATAACACTGTTTGGACTGATTAGCCATATTTTTTTACGATTTTTGATTTGAGATTAATAATTTAATCTTGAAAGGAACCTGTATATAATCGATAAAATGCTTGAAATAAATGTTATAGTACTGGATCCTCCGCGTCTTCCAGAAAAGAAAAGTAAAATAGGTGAAAACCTTAAATACCAAAGTTTTAGCTGTGTATTCGAGCTTTATTGCCATGTAAAGGAACTGATATTCGAAATACAGTCCTTTAGTTATCGCCGATTTTCAATAATAGGGGATCCATTTTTCAGTTTTTTTTTGCGGCGTACATTTTTGAACAATTATCAACAATAGAAGTTTATGCAGCCAAATCTTCTGCGTCTTTGAATTCCAGCATTTTTTCAATCGCGTACATCGTTTTCGACAAATGATTTTTTTCTTAGAGTCTTGCATTCGCGATTTTAATTTTTTTTTTTGCCATTTTAGATTAGATTAGATGATGTCATTCAAATGACCCCCGCGACTCATGTGGCATGAAATTTCCTATCACTTTTTGGCACAATTCAGGTTCTATGCCGACTATTTCGCGTCAAATCTACTGTTTCAGTCTGGTCTTGGTCTCTGCTTTTTAGATACCCACAAAAAAAAATCTAGGGGATTAAGATCACATGATCGCGGCGGCCAAGGGATATCGCCGTTACGTGAGATAATCCGACCAGGAAACTTGTTTCTCTGGATGTGTGACAAGTGGCTCCATCCCGTTGGAACCACAAATCTTCAATGTTCTCGTATCCATTCTGCACACGCGGCGCGGCGCTGTTGATGATCTCGAGGTTTCAACTCCTGAGTTATTTGGACTTTATGTGGGTGTAGATGCAAGTCTTTTGTTAAAATTCGTTGTGTGGTTGAATACGTAACGCCCACTTGCTGCGATCGATGACGAATCGATGTGTTTGGATTTTCGGCTACACTTTCGCGAACAATAGCAATATTTTGATCTGACCGACCTGCACGAGCACGTTGAAGGACCTTGAGGTTAGTTACAGATCCAGTTTGCTCAAATTTTTGAACCACACTCCAAATTGTCCTCTCAGAAGGTCGATTATGCGATTATACGCGTATTGCATTTTTTCTTGATCCACCATTTTCGTAATAGGCTTGCCCAATTTTTACACGTTGTTCAGTCGTATATTGCTCCATCACTAATTTTGTTTATGTTTTGAGGTTAGAAATGTCATATGATAATAAACAAATATAGTGGCGTTTCAAAAATATTTCAGATTGTAATGTGGAAACTCTTATTGAATCATCCGTTATTATATCAGACTGTTTCTCTAATCCTTGACAGCGACAGACATGTTAGTGTTTTATTCCGCGTTTTTTTTTACAATATTTTATAGTTACTTTTTTTACCGCACTAAATATAAAGCCGCTATCGAATTGCTCTTTTCAGTATAATAAGCGGCAACCAAATCTAACAACAAATATATTTTTTTATATTATTTATTTTTTAATTGCCCGTTTCCGCACTCGCGTATCACGCCGTATTTTCCGCAGTTGGTTCTTCGAGAACATCTCTCGCAAGGAGGCGGAGAAATTGCTCCTCGGCGACGACACGCAACCGCGCGGCACCTTCCTCGTCCGTCCGTCAGAACACAACCCCAACGGGTACTCGTTGTCGGTCAAAGACTGGGAAGAGTTCCGCGGCTACCACGTCAAGCACTACAAGATCAAACCGCTCGACAACGGCGGCTTCTACATCTCGACCAATAAGACGTTCGAATCGCTCGCCGAGCTCGTCACCGCGTACTCGAAGAACGCTTACGGACTATGTCACGTGTTGTCGAAGCCGTGCCGCAAACCGCAACCCATCATGTGGGATCTCGCGCCCACTTACAGGGACAAATGGGAGATCCCGAGGGACGAGGTGCAACTGATACGACGTCTCGGACGCGGCAACTTCGGCGAGGTGTTCTACGGCAAGTGGCGGCAAAACACCGAGGTCGCGGTGAAAACGCTCCGCGAGGGCACCATGTCGACGCAGGCGTTCCTCCAGGAGGCGGCCATAATGAAGAAGTTCCGCCATAAGAGGCTCGTCGCGTTGTACGGCGTCTGCAGCGAGCAGGAACCGATCTACATCGTGCAGGAGTACATGTCCAAAGGCAGTCTGCTCGACTTCCTGCGCAAGGACGACGGCAAACTGCTCGAGTTCGAGGATCTCGTCTACATCGCGTTCCAGGTGGCCAGCGGCATGGAGTACCTCGAGTCGAAGCAGCTGATCCACCGCGATTTAGCCGCACGGAACGTCCTGATCGGTAAGTGGAGGGGGGAACCGATTGAAACAACTCTCTTTGACATTATTTGACCTCGACCACTCCAGTTTGCTATAAAATTTGCTTTAAGTAAAATAGAACGGCTACCCTGAAATAAACAACGCGTCAATATATGCGGCGCCTCTGGTATCCGCCCGCTAGATGGCATCTTGTGAATTGTAAAATTCCACATTTGTCGGGTAAACTTTGAGGAAAGAGAATAAGTGCAAATATTGGTCGTTTTAATATAAAAACGGGAACAATTTTTTTTTATTAGAGCAAGTAAGTTCAATTTATTTAGACTTTCTATAAGTAACAATACAATGTTCGTCTTAACCTTATCTACCTTTTTTTAATCAAATACTGATCAAAACGATGTACACGGTATTGATCGATTGGTTTCAATTTTTGATTGATAAGAATTCTGCCATTGGCATGTAAGATTTTTGCTTTGGATAGTTTTGGTTCAGCTTGCGAATGAAAGTATTTAAAAAACATTTAATTTTTTCATTTGCATCCTAAATCAAATCAAAAGGCGAGTGTGGATGAGAACGATCATTAGATAGATAGAAAGGGACACTCCGTTTTGTCGATGGGCGGCGGGTCGTTAATTTGACCAGCAAGACGGACAAATGCTGGATCTCCGCAGCTAGCGCGGATATAAATTGAAGTTTCCTCGTCTTCTAAACACCGGCCTCATGTAAAGCCGTGTATCCTGTTAAGATTCCTGAGAGCTTTTCCCTCAATCCTGGTAAACCCACCCAGTGTTAAGGTACTTTGAAAGGGTTGTGATTGTTTTGCCCAATAGCAAATAAATAATAGAATTACTGTTCCTTATGAAATTGCTCTTTTTTTTTAACAAGAAATTTGAATAATAAACTGAAACCTGCGATTATTATGATGGGAAAAAAAGGATACATACATGGGTGACCCAACACGCCCTTAATTTTTACATATGGGTTCCACGTCACATTCTAAACGCGCGTGTCGATCTATCAGATTTTACCTGTAGTATAGCGGTGTCTCGCGTTTCGTAAACATGTGTTTTTCACATATGACATTTGAGACAGGTTGGCGATGTTGACAACGGTAGTTACTAGAGTTACCAACCTTCCTAGCTTAGACTTTTTTTTACAAACCCTTCTCTTTCTCTATTGCTAAAAATATCTGTAGCCTGAGCCCGGGCATTTTGTTTTGAGGGGTGTTTCTTCGTTTCAGGCGAGAACAATATCGCGAAAATCTGCGACTTCGGATTGGCGCGCGTCATCGAGGACAACGAGTACTGTCCGAAACAGGGCTCCCGATTCCCGGTAAAATGGACCGCCCCCGAAGCGATAGTCTACGGCAAATTCTCGATCAAATCGGACGTGTGGTCATACGGCATCCTCCTGATGGAACTGTTCACTTACGGCCAGGTCCCGTATCCGGGGATGCACGGTCGCGAGGTCATCGAACTGGTTGAGCAGGGCTACAGGATGCCGAAGCCCACCCTTCATCCGTTGCCCGACGAGATCTACCAGATAATGTTGAAGACGTGGGACGCGATACCCGAGAAGAGGCCCACGTTCGAGTTCCTCACGCACTACTTCGAAGGGTTCAACGTCACCAGCGAGGTGCCCTATAGGGAGGTGCCCGACTAAACGGTACTCGAAAAGCGACGAGGGGGGAACGCGGCGGGACCGCATTGTGATATTAATAAGGCGGGAACTAGTCGCTCCCCCCGACAAAGACGACGCTAGAGAACCCGGGGGACGACGCTGGTGAGCGCGTTTGGATGTTCGGTACCTTTTTTTTTCCTCTTCCTTTCCCTTTTCGAAAGGAAAAACGTAAAAGCCTTCCGCGGAGTTCTCGTAAAATTGAAAGGATAGGTCTCGCGTCTTCGCCCTTTTTTGTATTACGCCTCGTCAGTTAGAATCTACATAATTTATTTTAAGGAAAAAAGAAACCTGTATATTTGAATTTTGAGGATATCAGGCGGGAAACGTTGCACAGGCCAAAACCTCTAGATAAGTTAACCATGAATAGTGCTCAACATTCGATCTGCCCATGACCACAACTAACTATGAGCTGAATGCGCTATATAAGTTTTCACGTAGCGTCCGCCATTTCGGTTGGCGTTAGTCAACGTTTAGGATCCACTTTAATATATATAAATTTAACCTATAAACAAAAATATGGGTGGAGTTATTTCACAAGAAACGATCCCATAGAATAAGAAGAATAACCTATAAATGTAAGTATCTTCGTTATTACGAGTATGTGATTTGAGCGAAAGTTTTTTTTTATTACTTTTATCACACGTGATTTGAGCTTATGTTCCCGACTAAACTGATCGCACCTACTTGGCACCCATGGTGGGTGATATAATTTGAAAATATACAATGAGTTCCACCTTGTTCAGATTGACATAACGCATATATTGTGTTTTTCTTTACTGTAGGATCTCTTTAAAAATGTTATATGTTATGATTATGGACAAACTATTCAAGTATTCAGACCTCCCTATATAGCATCCTTAAATGGCTTAGAAGGGGCACTACTTGGCTGCTGTAAAGTGAGGAGAGAGTTTAGAGTTTAGATTATATTTTGATTATCATTTAATTTTGGTTAGTTTGATTGATCACGATTTCTGTTAATCTCCAATAATTAAAAATCGCACAAAAACTAAAACAGTAATATTAACTAATTGTCAAGCTTTTGGACAGTCCTACGTCACACTAATGTTGGGTATTATATTAGGATCTTTGTCAAACCTTTGAAAACTATCATATGTCTATCCTTTTCCCTCGCAGGTTCACGTCGTCTTTCTTTAAACATGCCGCAAAACAAATCCGTGTTACGTATTTATATTTTTGAGCGACGACGACCGACTTTGGATTTTTTTTTTTTTTTTTTTGCTGTTCGAAGAGAGAGAATTGTTAAAAAAACATTAAAATATTGGAAAATTTGAGACATGGTTGACAGGGCTAACAATTACAGCAGGAAAATTACTAGATTATGACAAACTTCGTCGGCCGTAGTTAACAATCTATTTGGTCCGAAATATACGCCGTGTACAATTAATGTGCATGATCGATCCCAATCACCAATCAGATGAATTTTGTTTCTGGTGTTTGTGGCGTAATATCATGGAAAACTTCCAGTTTTCACCTTACCGAGAACTCTGCAGTAAGGTTTTTCCTAAAACAATTCTCCCCCGCCTCGACTAAATAAATCTAAAGTCCAAAGGGTCTGCGAGTGGTGATGTCATCGCAGGCTTGAGCCCGTCCTTCGAGGAAAATGTGCGCGTGCGCGTGTGTATATATATACTTATAAGTTTTTAACCACCCCCGGAGGGTCGTAGACGTAATAAGGTTCCTCGAGCAAAGTTCTGTCTGTAAATTGCCCCCGCTCTCCGACACCTGGCAACCCCTTTTATACGCATTTTGTATCATGTATAATGTATGGGAAAAAAGTCGCACGCGAATTAGGACCAAAACAAAAAAGTTTCCGATTCTCCAAGGATAGTAGTATTAAGTAAAAAAAAAACAGGGGACTAGAAGCATGCGCGTGCCCGTCGCTTCGATCTTTTAGGTCGCGGAGTGCCCCGGGATACTTTTCCCGGGCCACGCCGCTCGTTCTCGTGCAATAGAGCCCTCGGTAGTCCAGAAAAAAAAAACCATATATAGACGAATATTTTTCTAAAAACGATTTTTTTTTCGTCGTGCGTTTTAAGTAATACGGAACCACTTAAACATCGTGAATGTGAATCTGTTTGCGTTAATTATAGGTTAGGTGCGCCGCAGACGGGTCGCTCTTTCCGCCCTTCGTTTTTTTTAAGAGTTTCCCACCCTCGACCCGTCTCTGGCCTTAGTCATTCATATTATTGTATATTATGGATTTTTTTTATATAAATATATTATATACATATGTTTTAAGCATTTAGTGAGTGTACGATCACTTTTTAACGACTAGGAACCACCGTTCAGTGTCCCGCGTGTTCTTTTCGAGAGTTCCAGATGGAAAGATGAAAACTTTTGTAAATACGAATAAAACAATGTGCTATCGACGAGAGGCGTTTTTATTCGTCGGGTAAAGCGGAAGCGTCGGTTAAACGTTGGCCAAATATTGGCCACCGCTGTAGTGTTTGGCTAGGAACTTTGTTTTGAGTCGTCTCAGGCACCGGTCGACCATTTCTTCAAAATCGCCCATCGACAGCGGGTGCTTTTTGCTGTACAAATTCATGTAAATACCCAGCACGACTATACCGCCCGACCAAAGGTACCTAAAATATAATATTTGCGTTGGCGAGGTATCGATTTATTTACTGCCGAAGTAGGACGCCTATTTTTTGCATTGCGAGCTATGTTTTTCCTATGGTATATTTTTGTGACCACGGAACTCGACGTCGTGTTCATGTCAGTAGCAATATAATTATATACAGGCCTTTTTTAGGGGCACTCTCATTCTCTAAAGTTGCAAGTCGATAATTTTTTGTGCCCAGTTTGTTCAGAAAAATATCGAAGTAAATTATATTTTTATTTTTAAAAAATATACCTTGGAAAATAAAACGTGAACTTATATTTAAGTGAGTAATAATATTAAAAAAAGTAACTTTCATCGTCAATATACTTGGCTCAAGATAGGTACATAAACTTTAAAATAGTCGACGAATTTAGATAGATTACAATTTGTATATTTGGATAATTTGTACTCGAAAAAAAAAACAAATATTTAAAAGTTACAATTGTTTTTTCAAATTCTTTTATCGAATCCGATATTTTCGAAATTTTCTTTCGGGCACTGCATGTCCCCATAAAAAAAAAGTCCAGATAATGTATAATTAATATGTGCATTTTATTTCGGTTTATATACGACGAATGACGTAACGAAAACAACAAACAGGCGCGATGCGATCGGTTGGCAGCGCTGGCGCGTCGGTAGTCAAAGCCCCCCCTATTCTCAGTTTCAATTCCCTGTCGTAAAATGGCGTAAAAATAAAGTTTTTTGAGCATGTAGTAAGCGATATCATATAATTAAATGTCGCTTTGATATTGCCGCGTTAGAAAGGAAATATTCGTCGAAACAAGGCAAAATTTCATACTTACTGAAACGAGAATGGTTTGCTGAAGAAAATGAACGATATAACAATGGTAACGGCTTTCCTGCAGGTGGTAACGGTAACTGCGGCGAATGCGCCAGTGGACCTCACCAGCGTCAGTACCACCTGAATACCGAGGTATCCTGTAATGGAAAATATGAAGGCGTAGCCATAGTTCTGGTTGAAATTCTAAAAGGAAACAAATTCTCGCTGGAAATCTGTGGCACGCAGGATTATCACCAACCTTCGAGAAAAATTGCACACCGTCGATTAAATCGCCGGTCAACAACATAACCACAAAAAGGTAAACAAATCCCAAACCATAGGAATACAGCACTACCTCAGCGTTGGTCGCGCCGTAATTCTTCATGTATTTTTCTTGCACGTTGCCGATAATAGCGTCGCAGAGTAATGCTAGCGAAATCATTGCGATACCCTGTGTGTTGAAATTAGGTTGCAGTTTTGAGTCAGCTAAAATAAACCAACATTATTAAACTAGGCCAAGTTAAACTAAACTGACCGCTACATTCTAGGCTACTATATTAGTACTATTAGTCGTCCTTCTTTTTGGAAAATACAAACCCAAAGTAAATAATGTTAACCCAACGCACATAAAAAGTGCGGCCAGAAAATCCAGCGGCCCATACCGTTTGCCTTGTATCAGAATGCCGCCGGCCAACACGGGAATGAGTTTGCAGCACTTAAAAATTACTTGCGTTGGGTAGTTCAAATATCCCAAGGAAGAATTGGATAGACCCATTGTGCCCAATGTGAGCAATGCCAATAGAAAATATATCTTCAAGGGTATCCTGCGACATGAAGAGTTAAAATAATTACACTCTGGTGGAATAATAAGGCCTTTACCTTCGGGAATGTATTTTGCGAAGCCTGGTTTCGATTAATCCAAAAATTGTGTAACAACCAAACTGAACCAAGGTTAGGTACCAACCGTAGGGAGAGAAACCATCCAGCGTGAAAATAAGCTCCTGCATGTATCCATAAAGGATGTAAAACACGAAAACCGCCGTGCTGCACACCAAAAACTGCACCGTTTGACTGTAATTGCTGATGTCCATACAAAGAACACTGATTCTCGGTTTCTCTACCTCCGGGTTCAATGCCAACGTTTCCGGCGGAGCCATGGTGGTTGATTAATAAAGCTAAACGATTATTTGTGCCCTACCTCCGCCGATACGTTGACATTTCTTGTAAATTATTGCTGTTGCTGCACTTAACCTCGCAAAGTCATCAACACCAAAACCACAGACCACGTAACAGCTTTGCGTAATTTAAATTTTTCGCGGTCAGTGTCAACTGAAGAAGTTATGTTGTGTTTATATTTACACGGTTAATTAATGAGAATAGTAAATTATGCGGTATATTATCCGCTTCTGCACCCATATTGCAAAAATGTAACTTGTTAAAACCATCCTATTTTTGGGGGTCATGGTTGCGGTTTCTGTTATAGGATTTATGACAGTCAATAATGAGCGAGTGTGCTTATCAAAGTTTCCCATTTTTCGAAAAATTTTGAGAACAAGAAATAAGCTGTCGAAGATCACTGGTTTTTCATAGTTTTCATTGCATGCAGACATTTGGCTTTGGCGTCGGATGAGTTGAATCGTTGTTCACAGGCGAGATATGCAATTGCGGTGAACTTTGAAGCTTTGAACTTTGAGCAATAAATTCCGCGTTTCTCATTGATTCTTTTAAAGTATTGAGTTGTATAGCTGCTGTTTTTATAGTCGACTGGTTTTGGATTCTATTTGTTTTTGCATTGGCGACGTTCACTAGCTTCCATACCTTGTTAAATGATATCAGAGCGCTCAAAACGTATCGTACTAAACTAAACTTTAAATTACGGGTGCCCTTTTTCAAATTTAATTACATCTTTTAAACTCCAACTGAAAATTGGCTTGGTGGCACAGCAAAAAATAAATTTTAAATTGTATGTACAATGTTTCGCAGAGGAAAATAGTTTTTTTCCACATTTGTTTTATTTTCAAGATAATTTGTTTTAATTACTTAATTACAGAATGAAGCCATAATAGAATTTTCAATGTCGAAGCTTTCAATTCATGTTTGCTGCGGAGTTTAATAATAATAATAATAATAACAAAAACATTTATTGCTGTGCTAAATAAACGTATTATTACACTACAAAATAATAGATGGTACCAATTTTAAGGTGTACTTTTCATATTCATAAAATGTGTGTACTCCCTTTGTTTCTGTTTAGGGACGAAAAAAATTTACTTTTTCGAAACCCTGAAAGACCATGATGCAAAGGTTTCTTGCTCCTTCGTTAACCCTGATGATTGATTGATTGATTATTATATAAAATAAATAAATAACTTTAAATTAGGATGTCTTTTTGGAAGAAAATTTCTAGCCTAAAGTAATGAGAGCTATTGTTTAAAGCACGGGAGCATACTTTAACTAATTCCAGAATTCAATTGAAACTAATTAGTTCCCCGTTTCAGCAAGAGGTGACGCCACAGTCATCCTGTCGCCCCCGTCTATTGAGGCTTGCTTGTAGTAAGTAGCTCCCATTTCGAAACAGATGTTTAACTTAGTCCTGGCTCTTATCGACAGATGGATATTAGAGGTACCTCCTTGGACTTGGTTGGGAAAGAACCAGAGAAAATTAAAAAAAAAATTTAATATGCAAAAGATAATAAGTAGGCTTTGAAGTGAAAGTCAACAGAACAGGGGCGTCACAGCCGTAGCCCTAAAAACTGCTACACGGGGCCCATCACGAACACAGCAATGAATCTGGTCCCAATAACCACCATTCCCTTTTTTCCTGAACCCATTTCTCTGTCTCTGGATAAGCATTTCCGTATCTCCCTTTCTGCCCTCGATTTTCTGTTTTTATTTTACTTCCTGCAGATCTTCTACACATTTTACATGTAAATCAAGGAGTTGGTGCCTAAGGAGTCAAATCACACTTTTTATGACACAGCACACAGCTTGCAGGCAGCTATGATAATAAACGGAGTCTTGCACAGCACCCGCGGGAGTCTACCCTGAAACGCTGGCTATCGCCCGCGGATTTTGTAGCTGAGGTTTCGAAATGATTGTGATGGCAGATGATGGTGTTGAGCTTAAACCCAAACCCAACGGCTCTGGTCCTGGATTAAATTGTTCCCAGTCACAGCCGTTGTACACAAATAGTTGGGTCATCATCCTGCATAAAACAACAAGAGGTTGAGTTGGAATTATAACTACAAAAAATGCATGCAAAATAACCCACCTCGGTCTCCCTAACGATTTAGAACGGGTCTGGCGCGGCTTGCAACAACGTACGTCGTCTGCACATGACAACTTCCAAAACGCTAACTTTCAAAAGAACTCGGCACTAGAATGACAAAAAGAAGGGGAACCTGGCTGTGGCGGAGCACACTGCTGCCTTAAAGCCGAGCAGAGGTATCAAAAAACTTACGAAGGAAAAAAGTGCTTTTAACCTGAAACCACGGCCTGCTGCAATCTCCAAAGTAACAACATCCACGTCGGTTGAGCGGCCAAATTCTCCTGGGCCGTTCGCCCAAACAGTATGACTTTTTCCCAAAAAAAAAGGAATATAACAGGAATGCAAATCCAACGCTCATAAAAACAATCAACAGAGATCCGGCTTTTTGTGACGTCACGCAACAGAGTTTAAAAAATTCAACCTTCCGCTTTGTCAACTTTGCGTGCGCGTTGCCAACTTAACTGAGCGGTTGCAAATGGCGTTTTCAACTGGCAGATTTTGTGAATTTCCGGTGCTACCGCAGCGCGATCGAACGGTGGACCGCAAAGGGACTACCGAGACGTGCACAAATCGAACAAGGAAGTAGAAATAATAAAGGAACCAAAACGAAAATCGTTTGCAACCGGATCGGCACCGCGCCATCTGAATACCGAAACGTAAACAAGAAATCAGCAATGGCCGCCGCATATCGGCAGTGTTCTTCGCGTAGTGGGTACGTGAGTTTTCGGAGCTGAACGCAATAAAAACATTAATTATGACAATACTGGTTCGGTGAGAATTACTGCAAACGTATAGTGCAAAAGTGTCTTTTATTATGTATTGTACCGTTGACAAGAGTCACTGTAGTGCTACATCCAGCACGCAAACCAGATCGGTGAAGGATGGTAAGTTTTTGTTTTCTTTCTGGATTTAACCGCCTTTAATATGTGTCCCGGGGGGGGGCGACTCCTCGTTACATACGTGGCTATTTCGGTTGCACTAATTAAACAACGTTAACAACAGTGTCCGTGTTTTTTTGTTTAAACGGTGTTAATAAGTGAATGGCAAATCGGCGTTCACTTTCATTTTTCTCACTGCAACCGCCTTATTTACGTTGCATTTGTGCCGTGTTGGAAAGCAAATTGCGTGGGCAAATTGTTTAAGCAGCATGTAAAGTGTTTCTGGGTGCCTCGGGGTTGACACTCGGGGCCCTACCTCGCCTCGTATGCGACGTTGGCGGCGCGACCCGCTTCCTTAGAATTGCGATAATAAAAAGAAAAAAAAAAAGCTTTGACGTCCCGTACGATTTAATATATTTTCTAATATATCGAAAAATGCCGCACTTGGGGGCAAAGTAAAGAAAACCTTTGCCGATAATAATGTCGTCTGGGACGTTTTTATTGGGAAAACAAGGCGGGCCCGGCGGCGCTCTCGGGTTAAGCAAATGGAAAAAGGCGGAAAATTTTTGTCATTTCGTCCTCGACCGTGGCTTTCGCCTTTTACTTTCTTTTACAGAGCGGCCAATCCCACCGAGCATCGCAATAAAGGAAAATTTATCCTCGCCGCAGCGTCGCCTCGCGGTCCAGGTAAAATAGTTTCGAAAAAACAGAAGTTTTCTATGCAGACTTTCGGGGCATTTTTTTTAGTCATTAAAACAACCATTATCTCGAGTAACTATGCCAATAAATCCGGCAATTAATCAATCGGTATTTACCTAAGAGATAAATATTTCACCTTTGCTCCGTTTACGTCAGACCGGAGAAAACAATTGAAAGAGCAGTTGCATCTGGTCACGGCACGTTAGTTTTGATCGCGTTGGCCTTGGCCAGATCGAAATCTAAACAAATCGAGAAACAATTCCGGAAGTGACACGGCAACGTTGTCGTTTTCGGGAACGTCGAACCGGCAACACCGTTTGGCAGTTTTTACGACCTGGCAACTTGCCGAGGACAGCATCACTTAACATCTGTCGTAATGAGCTTAGCAGTCGTGGCCACTAGAAGTAAAAGGAAGGAAGAAGAATATTTGTCATCCTAACCTCCGCTCGCTTTCGACAGAATCCTCTGTAATTGCCCCCAAAAAACTTGAAATGAATTGGTTCCATTGTGTGGATTTAGTGTTCTAAGTGTTTAGTGAATGTTATAAAGTGTGTAATCGTTGTCTCTCCCTGTTCATTAAAATGTTGCCTTGTTCGCACAAATATGTTGTTCCAAATGGTAACAATTTTTTAACCGCCTCTTCATGTTCAATATTGAACGCGTTTGCAGCTTTTGACATCCAAAAAGACGACAGATTTGGTTTACTCTCAAATTGAATACGTGCTTAAGCATTAGATCGAAGTTCAAGAATTGCTTCTGCCAAACCTGAAGGTTCTTCTGGTATCATAACAATTTCACATTTAAAATGATCTACAATCCAACTGACAGTACAAGATCTAGAAAGTAATCTGAAAACCGCTTTCTGAGTTTGAGTCTTACAATTGTATCCTTGATGTCAGCAAAAGTAATATTTTCGCAATCTTTCAAAAACAAAGCTAACCTTTCAGTCTCCAATATTGCATCTTTAATCCAAACGCTGACACTATTTCCCTCGCTGAAATGATATTAATATTCTTTCTTTGCAATTCTTTGTTTAATATATTTATGCTCTCAAAAATGCGAGATATGCAAGCAAGGAAGAGTTTTTCAACTTATCTGCGAGAATATGTTTTTGATCAACCATAAAAGTTTCGACTTCAGTTTTGAGAGTCCATACTCGATGTAGTATATTTCCGCTAGAGAGCCACCTTACTACTGTATAATAAAGTAGGTCCGTATATTCAGCTTCACCGTCCTGACATAATTCACGAAATCTTCTTCTGTTGCATATCCATTAATGGATGTTCGAGATCACATATGTCCACTCTTCTTTATTCCTTGTTCTTCCATTGTCCTCAGTCCCGTCCACTGTCTGATATTGCGAAGCCAAGACATCCTCTTCCTGCCGATTCCTCTCTTTCCTTCAATCTTCTCTTCAATTATCAACTGTAGGAATTGGTATCTTTTGTTACGTATCACGTGGCCTATATATGCTGTTTTTCGGCGTTTGATTGTGTTTAGCAATTCGCGGTCTGTATTGATCATTCTCAAAATCTCATCGTTTGTTTTTCTTGCCGTTCATGGTATTTTCAGTATATATCTGTAGATCCACATCTCAAATGCTTCAATCTTGTTCATATGGCTCACCTTTAGTGTTTATGCCTCCATACCATACAGTAATACAGGCCAGACGTAGCATCTGAGCTGAGCTGAGATCGGATCGGTATTGGTGCTCACTTTTTTGAATTCTATGAACGCACTCCCAGTTTTCTCATAGCGAGGTTCCTAAGACCCTTGTTCTTACTGCAAACACCAAGAATCCTGATCCAAGATCAAGAATCCATTTTATCTGCAATTAAAACTGTGTCGTCCGCCTAACGTATATTGTTGACCCACACACCACTCACCCTAACGCCCATGTTACGTTCTTGTGGGGCTTCCTGAAAAATGTTTTCAGAATACAAATTGAAGAAAAGCGGGGAAAGAACACATCCTTGCCTGACCCCTATACAGATTGGTTTTGCTTCCGTGAAATCGTTACCACTTTTGACTTCAGCCTTTTGATTCCAGAATAAGCTTTGAATGCAATGGATTTTTTTTGGTCCATGTCGAGTCTATTTAAAATTTGGATGAGTTTATGATGTTGACTCTGTCGAACGCTTTTTCGTAATCGATGAACACAGCATTATGTCCTTTCTCTGATCGTTGCAGTTCTGGACTAGCACCTGAGTCGCAACTAATGCTTCTCTCGGGCCTAGCCCACGTCTGACTCCGAATTGCGCTTTACTGATATTCTATAGTGGATAATCTTAAGGAATATCTTCAGTGTGTGACTCATGAGCCTGATTAATCTATGGTCCTCACATTTTGTTGCATTGTTCTTCTTAGGCAAAGGGATAAGATCTGACCGTGATACTTTTGTCGCCCAATAACTTGAGCAACTCAACAGGTATACGGTCTGGTCCAATCGCCTTCCTATCGTTCGATGTGTTGATTGCTCTTATAATTTCCTCTTTTGCGATGGGAGGTCATTTTCTACATTAGAGAATTGCCTCTTTTGTATATATTCCAGCCGTCTTATCTTTCTATGTAGGTTAAAGCTATTGTGTGTTTCCTGTAAGTGCTCTAGTTCTTCACACGGTCGTTTCAGCCATTCATTCTTAGCTATCATTTATAGTTACCTCCATTTTCTTGGTTTTTGTACTTTCTTCTGTTTTTGTCCTCTTTTATTCCTCCCCATACATCATCCATATTAGGTTCCTCCATCATCTGTTGATCCATAGTCGTCATTCTTTTTTCATTAATATCTTTCGTAATTTTGATTTTCAAGTTGAGTACTTGTTTCAATTCCTCGTAAAACGTCTCGATCTCATTTTCTGCCGAATCTGTTGTGGGCGCGTACACGGGGATGATATTGATGCCAAACCAATCAGTTTGCCGTATAATTGAAGTAATATGATCCTATCAGAGACGGAGATGAAATTTATTACACTCAGAACTATTCCCAATCCTTTTCTATGGTTTCTGCCATTTTACATCAGCTGGTTTAACCAAATCTTCACCAATAGTGTATGGTTTCTTATTTCGGGCAATCAACAAGACTACTTTAAAGCCAGCCCTTGATGTGGAACGCTCAGCAAATGTACCAAACAAGTTGCTATGCAAATTATCCAAATGTTTCTTCAATAGACTTTTTTTTTAATTCTGAAGTCAGTACCTTCATACATACAAAACCGTAATTAAGGAATTCATCTTGGTATGAATTAAATTTTCAAATTTCGGCTTACCTTGATCGATATATCGATGATTAATGATAAAATGGGGGTCTTGTCAGCAACTAACTAGTAAAAACTCGCTCTCTGTGCTTTACTTCGCAAATATATAATTTGAGAACCCTCTAGTGGTGGTGTGTGATGCATATGTCCCAAAATTGTTTGAGTTGAAAAATTCTAACACATTTAAAAATAGCAAATTAAAAATATATACTTTTTACTCACAAAAGTTTCATTTTTACTCCCAAAAATTTCATTTTCACCCCATCTGGGGTAATTTACCCCTATTCCCCGACCGCTGCTATAAGCGAACTCGTATGATACCGTGACTTCAGAAGTGGGATCGGCCGCGTGTCGTAAAAATAACGCGAAGTGGCAACTCCGCGGGACCGTCAAACGAACAAGGCAATTTAGCTGCTAAACGAAGTGTTAACAATAGCGCAAAATCCGTTTCGTTATTATCATATCCACGTCCGGATTATTTTTAGCGGGCAATAATGGACCGCCATGTTTTGTGGTAACGGGCGCGTTATGCGGGGCCGGCGTTTTTTTTTCTATAGGCCGCCGCCGTGGCGAATCGCCTGGCGTCTTGCGACTAACATGGGTCGAGACCAAGGCCGGCCCGATTTCGCTCCGGTTGACCATTTCGGTAAACAGTTTTGCCGCGACTACGCGGAGTTTGTTGACCGGTTCGCTCTCGCGCAACACTTCCTTGTCATCGAATGTGGACCGTGGTATTTTTATTGAGGATTTTGTGAGCCGCTGGACCCAGAGTCTCGGAATTAGACAACCAGCATGAGCGGCGCGTCACGAACACATTTAACGTGATCGATTAACTTATATCCGTTTTCGGCGCCGGTTGGAAAATGTAGAAGAGGGTAGCCAGCGCCCGTGACAAAACGTCGGAATTTACCTCTCTTTCCTATTACGTCGCTACTAAACAAATCTGTTTAACGCCACCTAACGCCCGTAATCTCTCACGGATTGCCCTGGGGCAGTTAGCTCCCGACAAGGGGTTGAAATCGGCGACAGGGTGAGGGAGAACCCGGTCGAAACGTCGCCCCCGGAATCGTTCCATTACGGCGCGTGGGAGGCGGGTATTGCGAAGCAGGGAAATAAGTTTCTCGTTTACCAGTTCTTTTCAACCTTCTGCCAGGTATACCTCGTATCGTTGGGGTAGTTGCGATTACTATACTTGCTAGACCCAAGTTTTATTGAACACTGTTAAAGACTAATGAGATACCGGACCAATGACTACTTGACTACAGTTATAAAGCATCATTTGCTAGATATACTTTGTAGAATAGTCGCGACGACTGTTAAAAGATTTGTTCAATCTAGCTCGTACTGTTGTGGTAGTTACGAAGATAATGTAAAGCAGTCCTAACCTTTTGTCAAACCTGTACCTTGTATTTAACAATGTTGAAGAACTTAAGAAGACTATTTAAGCAGAGCTTTATTGAAACCTACTGTTAATGAGTGGTTGCCAAGGCTCTTAGAAGGAATGTCCTTTATCCATTTTGTACTGAAAACTGTTGAAGCAATTATGAAGGTTATAAAGCATCGTTCGTCGGATCTACATAGATTATCTAAAGCAGTTTTGGTTGACCGCTTTTTAAATATATCTTGTATTAAATACAATGTAGAAAAACTTAACGAAGCTATGAGCTTATGCTTATGCTCTCTAACTGATACGAATTAAAGAAATACCCGGGCAAGCTGTAAGAATCAAATATGGCCGAACAGGTCCATACTTTGCTTAGAATTTAATTATTTGGGGTCTTGTTGTGAAAGGTATTTGTGTTTAAATCTAAAATAAAATTACAAATTATTCTTCATGGTAATCCAGAGAAGAATCTTCAATATTTTTCGCAGACAGAGAAAGTCCATTTGGAATCCAACCATCGTGCAAAATAGTTATTCTTTTACCTCTTTTTGATGGCGTGTTTGTTTTATACTTATCAGTTGAGTCAATCCAACCCTTTTCCGGGATATCATAAGTGTCGAACCAGGTTTCATCCAAGTAAATAATTGGCCTTTGTTGTTCTCTGTAAATCCTATTTTTTTCTAGATATTCCAGTCGCCATTTCCGAATTCTAAAAGATTCCATTAAAACTTGCCTTTTGTTAATTTTTTTAAATCTAAAACCCATAAGGTAGTTCTGCCACATTGAACACCGGTTTCATCTTTTTCAAGCCTCCTAATTAAGATACCTAATTTATCTATGACTGGTAAATTTTACGCCGTATTATATCTTGATCACTTTCATCTACACTCGAGACAATGTCAGCATCGCTTCTTTTTTTCCTCTCTGAAATGGGATTATTCACAATTTTCCATACAGTTGATGTTGGAATTTTGGTCAATGTGGCCGTTTCTTCTAAAGATGCTTGCTTGCTGGCACCACGTTCAATGAGAGTCAAATAAACATTGTATATAACTTCCTTAGTCTCAATAGAATAGTGTTTTCTACATTTGGGTGGAAGCATCTCCTGAGATACACTAGACTCGCACATATTTTGCATAATTCGTACACGATTCAACACACCCGGTATTAAACACGAAATAAGGATAATTACTAATAAACTTAAACTAAGTAGTATACCAAACCAAAGAATATTAAACACAGGTAGGTATAGAATTATTTTCTATTACGGACCACAATTTTACCTGAATTTAAATTCTGAAACTTTAGGTGATAATCTTGTTGCATTGTATGTTAATGACCACCCTTGGATAATCCCTTTCAAAAGCAATTGGTCACTTTCTTATATCTATGAATAGACCATACCTGATCTATCGTCAGATCTATCTCCTAATGAACGTTGGTGCAGCAGTTATGAAAATCTATTTTGTATTGAAAGCTTTTGGAGTAGTTGCGAAGAGTGCTAAAAGGCTCGCCCGATCCATCTCGCCATGCTGGGTTAGTTGCCAAATGAAGACAACTAAAGGTAAACTCGTACCTCGTATTGTTGAGGTAGTGTCCACCGGAATAGTTTCATTTACACGGCACTTGATTTGTGGACGACCACTATCCAGACCCCTCAGGCGAACTGCAGGATTGCGCATCGAAACCTGATCCTTCGCACAATAAACAACACGAGATAAACCCAAATTTGAGAACTACTCGCCCTCGTCAACTCGACGCGTCACGTCGTTCCCTCTCATTTGGATTTCTTCTCTTTTTTTCACATGCTATCCGGTTGCCAACGATAACATCTTCGATGCCAAGAGTTTAAAGTTTCAAGGTTCATTTTAAAGGTAAGCATGAACTCCGGGTACTAGAAGAGCCTGCACTTAGACTCCATACAGTTCCTAAAAGAAAAACGTTTTTTTAAAGAGTATTGGCCGAAGCCAGATCTCTCCCTCCCTCTCTCCCGCTCTCCATCTCACCCTCTACCCCTCTGCCACTCTTCCTCCCTTGCCCCCCCCTCTCCCTCCATCCCCCCGCTCTTTCTCCAGTCCTGACCGCCATTAGGGAGTGTGGTGATCCAGCGTAACATCATGGATGATTTTTATCCATGCGTTGTGCTGAGCATTGGCTTGCTAAAACTAATCGTGATCCGGTCTATCCATCGAGTCGGAGAGCCGTCACGTGGTCTACATATTGTCCGGACATTCCTCATTATATGTCCAAAATATTTAAGTTATTTTAGTCGGATTTTACTGCAAAGCCTGTTGGTAATATTAAGCTCATTTATAATGGAGACGTTTGTACGGCGTTCAGTCCAGGGGATACAGAGCATACGTCTATAACAATACTTCTCGGTAGCATCGATCTTCTTACGTTCCGCTTGTCTGAGGGTCCACGGTTCGCAGCCATACGTCAATATTGGATCTTTCAGGTAGTTTTGGTTTTTGATTACTCTTGAAATCTGGCGGTCTTTCCAGATCTTGGCTAGTCTTCCAACTACTACCTTTGCCATGTTGCACCTTAACGACTTCAAAGCTGTCAAATTTGGTTTTTTGTGTATTTAGTTCCAGACCTAGCCGATTTCTTTCGTTTTCTACCCAGATCGATCGAATTTAGTTGCCCGGACCGACACTCAGGCGCGGAGAATTACTACCGTGGTAATACCAGGTTATCAGTTGAAGATTCGAACTTCATCATTTAACACTTTGTGATCATGGCGAATGTCGCGCGTCGCAAAAACATCTAGTACGAAACTACCCTTAAGCGTTTACTACCCCCCGAAGTCGGTTATCATAAATCTTCAACGCGTCGTTACTTTGTATTGTTTAGCGGGCCACCGGAGTTACCTGGAGGGCCGTTTTGTACGCCGCGTATCTCCGTGATAAATGATTTCCACCCCCGCGAGTGGTGAGGCGGAACGATGCTCGTAAAACACTTAAGGAGACAATTTTCGCGACGCGAACTTCATATAGAGGTCGCTCCTGGCGTTTTGACTTAGCGCTCTGTAATTATTTTGAGAAAGTCTCACGCGTTTCGTAGATGATTTAGGGAGGAGGTGCGCGAAGGGCGGTAAGAGGCCGGACCGGGGTGAGAGCACTTCTGGAGTTTTAAGTTGGAGAACCTGTAAGGTTAACGTAATTTCCACAATTTTATTAGAAATTCTCAAGCTGTTTTATTATTTGGTTGAAAATTTTATCGGAACTTACGCATTTGTCGTCTACAAAAAAGTCAAAATTGGCATGGAAAACCTGGAAATATCAGGAACTTTGCCTTCATTTTGTTTATTCAATGCCAATATCAATATTGTTGTTCAGCAAAGTTTGTGTATTTGGCGAAACAATAAAAAAATACATAATTGTTTTTTTATCTTTTGAAACGTTGAAATATTTCCGTTGTCTTATACGTTCATTTTGTATTTTTTCAGGTAAGACAATCGGGCCAATTGTTTTTAACGAAATTGGTGAGTAAAAAAGTTTTTTCCTTCCCCATGTTATTTGTCTATCTCTAAGTTTCAGCAATTTTTTTTTTTCAGAAGCCTAGCAATTCAATAGCCTCTTGGCATTTTTAGGGTTATAAGATGTACAGCGTAAGATAAGTTCACAAAAGATAGATAGTTTTCATTTGGAAAAAGATATTTCCACTGCTTTTTTATATTTCGCTTTGTCAGTATTTTTTTTATCATCCCATATTAATAATTATCGAATTTCCTAACTAAATTATTTTTATTAACAGTTCTGAAATTCTGTGGAAATTATTAAATTTATATTTATCAATTTTGATAAGAGTTTTTAGTTGTATTTGTAATTCTTTTAAATAGTTTTTTTTTTTAATTACGACAGAATATAAAATTTTTCCATATAACTTAAAAATATATATTTTTTTAAATCGGTGAAAATTTTGTGTGAAATCTGTAAAATCTTAACACCAATTTTGAATCGTAATTTGCCCCTCGGGTATTTCATAAGGGCGTAATTTTTCTATCGATGTAGACCTGCAATAGCTTTGAGGTTTGTGTTGAAAATTAAAAAATAATTTTCACCCGAATAAAAAAGTGTCTATGCATTGTGGACCTCTACAGTGTATTCGGAAACTTGGAGGAAAGGTTCAACGTGGTAAAATAATGGTAGTAAGTCATATAACAAAAATGCGAAATCGAAATATTTTCCTAGTTATAGCTTGTCAAAATTCTTTTTTTTTAATTTTATTTTTAGTAAAAGTCATCAACAAAAGTGTTTCAAAAATCTGTCACTAGAGGGCATTTTACCAAGAACATTTTTTTATTTTTCCTGTATTTTATATATTTAGACTTATTTATTTAGAAGTTGTTACTCTGGTTTGAAGTCGATAAGTGTTATCCAAAAATCCACAAACCGATTTTATATTCTTGTCTCGAATTTTGCCTGTAAATGTAATTTTACATAACAGTACTTAATAAAATTTGAAAAAGTCATTGTCAGAATCCGTTAAAAATTAGTTTCTATTAAAAGAGCTTATTATCCAACTGCTACTGTGATATGGTCCATCAGGAATATTCAAATACTGAGGATCATTCAAATCAAATCATTCAAACCTGATAATATGAATAAAGGCAGACCAAGGTATAAAAGAACAGCTGCAAGACAAGAAAGAATATTTCAAAATGTGGAGGCTGACCCGTCAACCAGTACGAGAAAACTTGCTGGTCAGGAATGAATCACTTGCTCTACAGTTTGGGAAGTTTTGCATGAAAATGATCTTCGGCCCTTTCAAGTTCAAAGGGTTGAAGCACTGTATGAGGGTGATGAGCAATTGAGAGTAGTTTTATGCAATCAATTTTGTGGAACATTGAAAACGCACATGCAAAAATTGAAGTAAAACATCAGCGCTGATTTTCTTTAAATGTATGGGCAGGGATAATCTTATACGACGTCGCATAATGGGGAAATGTATTTGCAATTTCTCCAAGAGGAACTACCACTTTTGCTGGAAGAGGTACCCTTGCAGTGGAGACAAAACATGTGGTTAATGCAAGATGGCGCTCCACGCTATTTACGTTGGCTAGTTCGAGGATATTTAAATCAGGCATTTGAACATCGATGGAACTCTAGCTTGGCCGCGTCACTCACCTGACCTTAATCGGATGGACTTCTTTTATGGGGGCACTTAGTCTTTAGTGTATGAAACACCTATAATATATAGCAATGATCTGAGACAAAAAATAATAAACGCTTGCGAAATAATTAGTGTATTTTTTCGTATTCGACTTCAATTTTTAAAATGTATAGGAAAATGTTTAGAAATGAACGGTGGCCATTTTGCCAATGAATTGTAATTAGCGTTGTATACTGTTTAATTCCCGATTATTATTAATAACTTTTTATTTTCGAAAATGTTACTTAAATTAAACATTCTATTGCATCGACTTATGCCATTTTTTCACTTTTTTAATTTTTAGCATACCGTTTTAAAAAAATTTAGTGCACGCCTATCACCTTTCTGTAAATTAGAAGTGCGGGGTGTTCGGGTCGAGAATAAAAAAGTCGATTTGTGGCTAAACGATAACACTTATCGACTTAAAACAAGTGTAACAATTTTTGAGGATTTGTGATTCTACTTAAGGCAATCTATTCTATTTTCCAATACCAGTTTAAATAAATAAAATGCAGGGAAAATAAAAAAAATGTTCTAGGAAAAGTGCCCTCTAGTGACAGATTTCTGAAACACTTTTATTTTGTAACTTTTACTAGATCAGGACGGTGTGTAAAATACCAGCTTAGTCCGTTGAGAATTAAGCAAACTGCGTTAAAAATAAAATTAAAAAAAAAAAATTGACAAGCTATAACTCGGAAATTTTTGTTTTCCTCCAGGTTTCCGAACACTCTGTATATCAAAAATAAAGCGAATCCGGATCAACATTGCTATAAACTTTCAATTTTTATTATTTAAAAAAACACCCTGTGCGATCTAAGCGTGTTTTTGCTATAATGTGCAAGCTTGGAATTTTGCCTCTTAATATTTCGAAAAACAACCCCGGTACCTGGGGCCGACGAAAGTAAATAAAGAAAGGACCGAGACCGAATTTGACCTGGTGGCGGATGCTTCGGCTGCGGTTCAAAAAAGGAAAATTTGTCTCGGTCCCCATTGTTTTCGAACGAAAATCTCTTCTCTTTCGCGCGAGCGCCGCATCTGTCCCGTAAACGGATCCGGTCTGGAATTTATTTATAGATTGCCGTTTAAAAATTTACGACCCCCCTCAAAGGGGCGGCGGCGGCGGCACCCGCAACACATGTCGCGCGTAGGGGAGAACGTCGGTCGAATATCGTTTTTATCGGGAGGATGTCGTAAATAATTTTATAGTTAAATTTTACGCGCGGAGGCCGGCCGGTTTTTATTGCCAGACAAAACCGGTCGTGGGTGTCGCGGCGTGCGAGGACGCGAATCCCGCCATCTTGGTGGCGTGCCGGCGCGTTTGTTTGCCATTTTTTCGCCTTAATATGTCGAATCTTTTTAACGTGATGGGCTGAGACAATGTTGCCAGTGTCGAACATCGCCGTTTTTACCGAAATACCTTTCACACAAGTGTATTGAAATCGGATCTAATCGAGCAGGATGTGGCTGTATTACATGGTTATATATATGATGTCTTAAATTAATTTGTACCAACTAAAACTATAAACAGGAATTAGTTTCCGATTTGGTTCACTCGTAACGGAAAAAAGAAAGCAAGACAAGAGTGGAAAAAGTATAAGCTGAGGATTATTTATTTTCGAAACTAAGAAAAGATTTTAAGACAAGTAAAATAACTGACTATAAAAAATATACTGCAAAAATCGAAGGGAACCTGAAAACGAATACATTTCTTTTTATTATTATTATTATTATCTATTTAATATTAGTAATAAAAAAAATACAAAATAACTGCCTGATAAAATAATTTACAATGGTGCTACGGCAAGTGATTCTCAAAAAATATGTCTCATTTTTTTTGTGACTACTTTAGTAGTGTGTTTGAATTTAGGGATACCCCGTCCTATATTTCACCAATTCCTATGAGCAGGAGTATCGTCATATCTGGATTTTCTTAAAATTCTATTAACAAAAGATTCGATCCTAAAAAGGGCCAAGGGCCGGACGGTATACCGGCACAATTTCTCAAAAATTTGTCGAATAAAAATAAATGTCTAGGTCAAGGGCCATTTCCAAAAGGCCGGAAAGTTGTCCAGATAGTCCCTATCTTAAATTCTGGTGATTCTACAGACGCCACTAATTATCGTCCCATCTCTCTCTTATGTTAAGGTATATTTGGTTTTTCTGCTAAAGAATGACATAGATCCAAATCAACATGACATCAATTTTTCCATGCATAATGGTTTTGAGACGTGCGCCGCTGTGTATACCGATTTTTCCAAGACTTTTGATAAAGTACATCATCCAACTCTGAGGATAAAACTCGGAAATTTCGTCGTGCATGCTATATTACAGAACGAACTCAGTGTGTTGTTGTCAATGGTAAAAAATCTCGCTGTGGAAATGTTGCCTCGGGTGTCCCCCAGGGATCTCATCTGGCCCTTTTACTCTTTAATATTTTTGTTTTCGATGTTGGCCTTTGTTTTCCGGTTTCAGTTTATGCTGCTTTTGCCGATGATTTAAAAGTAAAAAAGAGATTCGTTTATATTGATGTATTAGAGTTTCAGAGCGATCTTGACAGATTTGCTGATTAGTGCAGAAACCACATATTATTCTTAAATCTTGTTAAATTTGTAAATTCAAATATTTGCAAGAAAAAAAAAGATTTTATAGATATTAATTTAATGCTTTATGTAGTTATAGTTTATATAGTTAAAAAGAGTTAAGCAAGTAAAAGACTTTGAACTGAGGTGGCTTTTACTTGATGAAAATCCATTTATCAAAATAAATAAGAATTAAAGGTTCAGATTTTCACGAAATTATATATTATGACATAACAATTGTTATGTCACAACACCGTGTCTTTATCAAATGTAATATTTACAAACTACCTGCTACTATATATACCGAAAAATAACCATAAAACGTTAATTAATGTTGTTGTGAGAATTTAAGTTCAATAAAGGAGAGGTATTTAAATCGAATTGAAACATTTGAATGTCTCATTTTGTTAATCTCCATGGCTTCCAATAAATTTAATTTTCTACTTTTTGTGGCTGTATGCAAAATATCAAAATTGTCGTCAAAAATGTATTTTTCTGTGTTTAAGTGTGTAGCATAATTAGAATCTAAACTATTGTTTTTAAACGCTGGTTTATGTTCGTTCATGCGTTTCTTGAAGGATCTACCTGTTTGTCCAATATAAATTTTAGGACAAGATCCGCATTTCAACCTGTAGACACCTGATTTTCGGGATTTTGGACATTTCGTTTTATTGTTTTTTTAATATTTTCCTATTGTGTTGTTAGTTCTGAAAGCTATTTTTAAACCACATTTTGACAAATGTTTTGAAAC